TGTATGTATATGTGTATATATATGTATATGTATGTATATGTATATATGTATATGTATATATATGTATATGTATATATATGTATATGTATATGTATATGTATATATGTATGTATATGTATATATGTATATATATGTATATATGTGTATATATATATATGTGTATATATATATATGTGTATATGTATATGTGTATATATATGTATATATGTGTATATGTATATATGTGTATATGTATATAAATAAATATAATAGCACAGTGCTCTTAAACTTTTGCAAACTATAGCAATAAATGGATAAAGTGGCGACAACAAATCGTAATATGTGATAATGGCGACCTCTTGAGTCGAGTCACGAAAGGAATAGTTGTCGTTGAGTAGTCGAAAAATATGCCTGTATAAATATAGACGACGGGGGAAAAAAGTTTTCGTTTATACCTAAAATTAAATTATCCGAAATTGGTTTTTTAGACGTATCGCTTATCTTAACTCTTTGGTAACTGCGCACAAAATATTTTAATCTCGTTGACAGTCGTAGGTTTAATGGGCTTTAGTCTAAGGCACCCAAAGATTAGATATTACAGAAGAGAGAAATCCGTCTGGTCTTAAGACCACGCGGCTTACTTTGGTATGAAATTAGAGAAGAGTTTTGATTTGTATTTTCTATAAAGTGTTTTTAAAATCCCAGGTAATCTTCTATACTTTGCAATAATGTATCATATTTTCACTTTAACCTTTGCCATTTTTTTTTTTTTGATAACATAAACGGCGCTTGAACGAAGAGTACGAACCGCAACGGTAGAATTTCCCCATCGACATAAACTTAAATAACAGTATTTCTAACGCACTGCGCTCTAACAACGGCAGCTAGGCTGCTCGAAGTAAATGAAAGCTAATAAACGACTAGTTCGGGAAACTCTTTCAACTAAACCCAGGGCAGGTGAAAAAATACATTCAAAACATAAACCTCCGAAAGAGAAATGCGCAGTCGGATTTTCCAAGAGGTATTTAAGCAAAGACGGAAGTAAAGGACGGATGAGTGTTTCGCATCGCTGTCTCTGGCTCGAGACGGAGCGGGTGGTTTTTCAGGAGGGAAACTTTACAAGGTTTAACGGGATTTGAGCACGATTAATTCATTTCGCTTAATTACTAGAGCCAGTGCAGCCATACTGAAAGGTAGGAGTACACCCTGAATGCGGAAACGTTCATTTTTGTCGTGTATTATTACATTTTACCCGCTTCAGTTTGCGCCATTTTCGCTAGTTTGGTAATGCATAAATGTGCGCCTTTTAGCTCTGGCGTTCTTTGTCCCTATTCTTTAAAAGATAATGATGTGGTTCATCCCGGTGGAAAATCTCACACCCCTGTTTCTACAAGGCAGTTGCTATTATTATACGTTAGAAGAGAGCAAGTGATCGTTCTTCTCCCATCCAAAAATTGTCTTCGAAATCAAGTGCAATTGCGCAGTTTTGTGCTGCATCAGGCCGTGTCAGACGCTAACAGCGCCAGCGCCTGTTGGGATGTAGCTCCATTCTGGCGCACATGAGTTAGCTTATGAAGCTAACCGGCTAGCGTGCTAATCAAATAGCTTTGATTGTCAGTTTGTCAAAGTGACGGCAACGTCACGCCGAAGTTCAGCAAACATATAATGAGTAAGATCTTCATGGATCCCCTTTTTAGCTTTAAAACCCTGGTCGCGTAAACGGTAGAAAATGGTAGAATTTTTTTTTCTTCCTCTGGAGCGGTTATCTCCACCGGCTAACTTGGCTAGCCTTTTAGCGTCGCAGACTTGTCGAAATAAGCTGTACTTTTAAACACACAAGCCCCGAGGCCGATAAAAACAGTTTAGATTGCATACTAGAACATCGGTTTATGATGAAGTCCGTTTGTCTCGTACTGATAAATTGCGGTGGCCGTTAATGACTAGTATTGTTTTGTTGCTTTACCTCGTTGTCATTAGCTTCAGTGTTTAGCGTTTATAGACATTCCTATGCAGCATCCCAATTGCCACCGACGCGAGCTGGCAACACGGTTGGGTATGTGACTCGATGCAAGTCAGAAAAGTACCTAAATTAATATGCGCCATAAACAGGTTGAATGTTGTACGTCGTGTCCGTGGGATTTCACACACGAGAAATGTTAATATCACAATACTTTGGTTTTTTGGAGTAGGGTAGGGAGGAGGCTCATAACTTAAACCAGTTGGAAAAGGACTTGAAGTGATGCTGCTCTGTAATAACATTGGATGTCCTCTTGGTTTCTTTACAGTATGGAAACTTTTACAGTTTTTCAAAATTTGGCTGCAGCTAATGGTCATTCTATGATTTAGGTTAAATTGTTTTGACTAGCTGCCTAAAACTTTAAATATGTCGAATTAGAATACTAAGGAAATTGTTTCTTAATTTATTTATTTTTTATTATTGTTATTATCTTTAAAACAAAGGAAAGCTAAAGAGCTATTCATTTCAGAAGACAGGACAGCCAGATGTCTGGTTTTCTAATCAACCTGACCCTCTTTCTTTGCAGGAGTCCACAAATCATGTCAGGCATTGCATTGAGCCGGCTTGCCCAGGAGCGCAAGGCATGGCGGAAGGACCATCCTTTTGTAAGTATTGGCTCACGAGATCCGTGCGATGAAAGCCTGCCTGAGTGTTGGTTAGAAAGTGTTTGCTTTCTAACAAACTTTAAAATTTCAACTCTTACTCTTCCCAGGGATTTGTTGCGGTACCGACAAAAAACCCAGATGGAACCATGAATCTCATGAATTGGGAATGTGCTATTCCTGGCAAAAAGGGGGTAATGTGTTTCATAGATTTGTTTGCATGCTGAGTAGATTTGTTTTACATAATTAAAAAAGGCTCAGTGATCTTTCTAGGACAATGAGAATACTGTAGTGGGTGTAAAGCATACTGTATGAGTAATGGCTCTGCAAAAACAACCCAAAACAAATTAAACCATGATAAGTTTTAAAAATAATTTTACAATTTGACTGGCAGTAGTAGTAGTAGTAGGAACTTTTAAGAGTCAGTGATGTAGCCTTCTGTTTCTAAATTGATCTAATGATCGTCTCTCCTCAGACTCCGTGGGAAGGAGGCCTGTTCAAGCTGCGCATGTTGTTCAAGGACGACTATCCGTCTTCACCTCCAAAATGTGAGTTGCTGTGCATTCAGCCCGTAAATATGACAAATACACTAGCTATCATTTTGGCCTGCAGATGCTTTGGGAAATCTATTTGGAAGTAAAACCTGGAGCATAGTAGAGTTCCCATATTTTCAAGAGCCTTTAGCATTATCGGATACAATTTGTATGCCAGTACAAACTTGGTTATGTTTATCTACAGTCAGATCAAGTTAATTAAAAAAAAAAATTTCTTTTTCTTTGAAGTTTTGATGGTTTGAAATGGAACAGAAAAGTGCAGGCTCATGTGCATCCTCCAGCCTACTCGGCACATCTGTAAACTGTCTTTAAAAGCTAATTAAGGCTTCCTCTCATCAACATTTGGCAGCACTGAATGATGAATCTCTTCAGACATGTTAGTTTATTATGGTAATGAGAAAGAGGCTGATTTAAAGCCAAAGGTTTTAATTTAAGGTTAGTGCAGTAATCCTTTGGAAACCTGTGTTTAAGCTGTCAAACTGAAGCTTAGCAGTGCTGGGGATGTTCGACACCTCGGCTGTGATTGGTTGAATACATGACTGTTTTCTGGTCTTTGTGGGATAATTACAAATGCCGAGTTTTCAACTTTATTTGATAGAAATCTAAGCAGCTTCATGTTTTTGTTGTTATTATATAAACAGAAGTGGAAACTGGTTAAAGTGTCTTTATTCCAGTGGCTGTGATTAATCTCTTTGGGTTACATGAAAAATCCTGCTCTTTAGGAAAAACTCCAGAATAACCTTTGCTTGACCTTTACGCAGCAGAGCAAATGCAGACTTTCTGTTCTAATTATTTTAATTTGGCAGCGCTATTAAAGCCATTTAAGTAGTGCAGCAAGCATGTTGGAGCTGAGGAAGCTTGGCGATATAACAATGTTGCTGCAATTTTGGTGTTAATTCAGGGTCATGGCCGATAGATGCTTTTGTGCATGCGTCATTTGCTGTTCCTTTTAAACAGGTTGTGCAAGATTTTTGCCAGTTGATTGATTTTTAGACCTGATATTGTTGTAAATTGATGGTAAAAAACGGCTTACAAACAAGTAGCAGATTCCTGTTGTGTGTCTCAAAACACTACCGTACTTACCTGCCACACAAGGCCAGAGCACCGTGGCTTACACCGGCTCTAATCCTGCAGCACGAGCTCCACGTTGTCTGAATGTCAAATTAAAATGACCTAAAGGCACTGTTTGTGTAAACAACAGACGCTGCTGCCTTCAGTGGAACAGTTCAGTCTGGGCACGCAGTGACTTTAGTAGTCTAACCCCTTTTGTTTGGTATGTATAATATACCTGAAACATAAAGCCCACTTAACATTTTGCCATCTTTCAGGTAAATTTGAGCCTCCACTCTTCCATCCAAACGTGTATCCATCAGGCACAGTTTGCCTATCGATACTAGAGGAGGACAAGGACTGGAGACCAGCCATCACAATAAAGCAGGTTTGTGTTGTAAAGTGAATTTCATCTACAGTAACGACCTTAAAACCTAAGAGCGTGAGTGTGTTCACATGGTCTCTTAAAGTTCCAGATGTTTTCTGATTTTAAGATGACATTTCTAAACTGGAACCTTATCTAAGTTTATCAGGTAATCAGTCAAACTTTTTGATGCTGATAGGAAAACGAGACACGTAGGCTTTTGAATCCCTCGCTTAGCTTTCAGGCTGGGTGATATTTTGATAATGTTGGTCATGAAGCACAGATGGTGGTGCTGTCATTTTAAGCCACGTTTACATGTAAAATAATCACACAGTAAGTTTGTTTTGTAACTCCTCACACCTGTCTACTGAATGTCTCTCCTAACCAAGGATTGTACACCAAGTGGCTACATTTGTCACCAAATTTTTTTTATTTTTTTAAGGGAAGAAAAGTTGGAAAAGCTCAGCTGTAAATTGGCGACATGACAGTCCTCCAGATTAACAAACACACTTATAAAGCAAACGAGTCTCGATGGGGAAGTGAAGTGTGACGTACGCCTGTTTCTATTGTGCCTGAGAGGCAGAGAAGCACAACGCTAAATCGAGAGTCAAACCATAAGCTTAAAATATTTGCATCACAACTTGTATTCAGTGTTTAGCAATAGTCAATCATGACTATTATGTGGAGCAAGTAGTGTTGCATAAAGTGTGTGCACTCGGTATTAAGTTGACTAATATTAAGGAGCCTTCACAGAAGCATCCCAACCTGGTGAATTTCTGAAATGTTTCATTTTTATCTTGTAGATCTTATTAGGTATCCAGGAACTGCTAAATGAGCCAAATATCCAGGATCCAGCCCAAGCAGAGGCTTACACGATCTACTGGTGAGTGACGATTAATTCACACCAAACCAGCAATTTATTCAAAAATGTAAGGCCACTGACATCTTAGGGCAAATTATTAAGTGGGAGTTGGAGGTCTTGTTTTACAATAAATGAAGAATTATTTAAACTAAATAACTGTTGATTAGATTTACTTGAATTTGAAACCAACATGGTTTTAGAAAGGAAAGCAATGTAGACCATGGCTGTTTATTTAATAATTTATATGCCCACAAGAGCAGAATTATTATTAGTGATAACTAAGACGGGGTTCTTAAAAAAATAGCATTCATACAAATCTTTAAATATGTACATCTTTATGCAGAAATATAGAGGGATCAGACTTTTTCTGTGTGCACTGGAGGCCTCAGTGTGTTTGGGGCGGTGGGGGTCTTTTTATATTATGGTGTTTCACATTTTGTTATTTTATTTTTTTTAATCCACTCAGTGAACCTCAGACTTGATGACAACTTTTTCTCTGGCTTCATTAAGAGCCTGAAGTGTCCAAGCCTTAAGACACAATCAGATTGAAAGCGTTCCCCTCATTTTTCACCCAACATCCACAGTGAATTTGCCCCCTTGGGTCAGACTCTTAATGCTGAGTTCTACTTTAATGTCTCGAGGCATCTGAGGGAGAACATTTAGTGCACACGGTCTGATATGTGTGTCAGTTGTGTTTATTAACTACGCTAACACAATCATAGCCACCTGCACCACTTGCCAGATTTGGCCCTGTAACAACTTCTTTCTCATGAGAATGAACTTTTAAAGGTTGTCTTGATCCAGCACACGTCATAGATTTGCACCTGCAGGTGGTCAAAATGGGGAATTCCACAGTGGGGTCAAAGCGGTCTGAGCAGTATAGAGCAACACAGGAATACAGAGTGGACAAAGGCCAAATTTAAATAAGAATTTTCAGATTGCACCTCATGTTATTTTAAGTTTATAACTAGCACAGGGAACTATTTATTTATTCATTTATTTATCTTAACCCTGTAAAATCTGAACCCTAAAAATTCAATGTTTTTGAAGCAGGAGTGTTTATTGAACCTTCTGACGATTTAAAACACATAAGAGGAGTTTAAGGGTTTAAAAAGAAATCTCATTGATGTAGAGGTCTCAAAAACTCCTGTATCACACATGAACTTCTAGGGTTTTTGACGGACTGATTAAAGATGTTTACTTTTTGAGCAGCATGCTGTGCCTGTTTTGAGTAAGCAGTCTTAATAACTGTTGTTTCTGTTTGTTTTGTTTTTAATCTCTTTTCAGCCAAAACAGAGTAGAATATGAAAAAAGAGTTCGAGCACAAGCCAAAAAATTCTCCCCCTCGTAAGGGCGAAGACGGAAGGAATGGGTTTAACAAGAATCACCTCCCGGCTCAGTCTCTCTATGAATGTGCTCCTCTCACATCGGGACTTGCTTAAAGACTTCTATTTAAACTCCACATTCTGTGCCATCCGTTCTCCTCTGACCTATCAGTTTTTTTTGTTCTTAATTGCCGGTTGGCGCATAATGCTGGGAGGGAATGGGTGCGTCAGCACCCTGGTAATTTCTTTTTAAACAATAATTGTCTTATGTCGTGCAAGGGACACAGCTTGGTACCGGTTTCATCAACTCCCATGCAAGCTGACTGTCATCAATGTTTCAAGGAAGAAAATGTCGTTTTGTTTTATTTTGCTCTTTCACAGGGTCTTTTTCTTTTTGTTTCCTCCTTTATTTTCCATAAATTTAATGTAAAATTTAGCTTACTTCATTGTCAGTATTTCAACTGCTGTATAATGAATGGCACTTTTATACTGTTGTATCTCACTAGTGTCTCTAGATGGCTCTGTCTAATTCTCTTTCCCAGGTTTTCTATTCAGCATGCTGTAATATACAATAGATTCTGCTGCCTTGGCTGTCTTTTTGTTATTCAGAGTGTTTGCTATAAATAAAAATGGCCACAGTGACTGAGGCAGGTAGGCTTACTTCTGTATCAGACTTTAAGGTTATATGGTGCTTTGTTCATGTATGTGTTGGCTTAATAAACCTTTCTACAAAATGTATTTCCTTTATTAAGAGCAGAATATACACACAAGTTCATCTTGCATTTCAGTAATGGAGAAACAAAACGGATGAGTCACAAAATGAGACTTTCACCCTGTTTCCAGACAGGTTTGGACTGTGCATAAAATATAAAAACATAAGTGAAGTAGTACATGGACAACATGTAACTAAATGCTACATAAAATCTGTTAAAAAAAAAAAAGGGAAAAAAACAGAAAAACAAATTCAAGGTGCTGCAATGGCCCAGAAGTTTAGACCACAGCCTGATTGAAATCCTGTGGTGGAACCTCTAGAGGACTATTTATAGCTTAATGCGCAGAATTAACAATAAACTGAATTAACATTATAAAGAAGAGCATGTCAAAATTACCCCACAACGAGAAGGAGTGATAAAATGAGTTATTTCTGCTACAGGTTCTATTAGCTACTGAATCATAACGTGGACTACTCCGTCCAGTGGAAAAATGTTCCTTTTCATGACAACTTTCAAGCTTTCTGAGTTGATCCCTGTTGGGCAAGACTTGTTTTTACAAGCTCCCATGGTGCTCTGCCAGGACAGAACTGGACTGCTGGAAGGCACTCAGGGTGCAGTACTCATTGCAGTACCAGGGAGGGTCCCTTTCTAGGGACGTGTCACTGCAGAGCCAGCAGCCCGAGTCTCCAGAAGGACTCCCTAATTGGGAGTCTAGAACCAGGCTGTTCATTGGGCTCCCCTGAGCTGAGAGTGGAATCATGGTGCTCACAGCGTACGGGACGCCCAGGAGAGTGGTATCACAGACCGAAGGAGTTATGTTGCTGTAGGAGCTGCCCTCCATCACGTGCTGGTCAAAGTGGGGTGGACGACAGTCATCCTCCTGGACTTCTGCACACTTTGTCAAGGTGTCGATCTGAAGCGTTTCCTCTTTTTCTAGCGTGTCTGCTGTGTTTTCTTGCGTAACCACCCAGCTCTGCAATCACAAGGTCAGTTACATCCTAATGACATTAAGTTTGGGACTCGGTTTTTTACATGAAAAGCTGAACTTACCTTGAAATCTCCCTGGCAGTCACTGTACAGGGTGTGGAAATAGGGAGCCGGAGTTGGGATAAACACATTTTGCTTCCACCTGTGAGCATAGAGAGTGCACTATAGTACAAAAAATGACTTTAGATGAAACTTAATGTTTTGTAAAGTGAGGCTTTACATGATATAACGTTACTTTTTAACAGGAGCGTAGCAGATCAGTATGACGAATACCACCAGCCCACAGATGGGAATGAGCACCTTCTTACACATTTCAGAAATGAACATGCGCGTTGACAAACCTGTGTGGGGAACACAATAGAAAATACTGAAGCAGAATAAATGCACATTTACGTTGAACTCTGGAGTACTCAGGTACTCCAAACAGGAAAAAGTGAATCCAAGAAATCAATTTCTGCTTATGATTGTTTTATCTAAATCTAGCTGCTTTTTTTTTTTTTATTGAGACTCACCATCCACGGCAGGGTTAGTCCTCCAGTGAGCGTCATCAGACCAGTGACTCCACTCGCCTTGGTACGTAGCCTTATTGGGAATGGACCGTACTCTAGCACTATACTCGGTGTCTGGTTCAAAGTTCTGATCTTCCAAAGAAATACCCGTACTTTGTGTGCTAATTTCACGAATTTTTACCTGAAAGAAATAAAACATAAAAGCATCCCATTAATTTTCAGAAGACAGAAATGCCCTGTTCTGTTCTTCTTTATAAACTTATTTACAGGTTTAGTGTCATCATTTTCCACAAGAGTATCGATTCTGTCACTAGTTAGATAAAATAAACTAATGTAAGTCTACAAGCCGCAACCAACCAACCACATGACGTCACGCTCTTTACTGGCCCTGCGCGTTCTCAAAACTAACTTTAAACACTAGTTTAGTTTTTGAGAGCAGGCCTCAATGGTGTAAATTAGCCTTTATATGTGTATTATTTCATGCCCCAAATTCTGGAACAATTTCGACCTAATAAAAAGAAGTTGTAAAACCTTTAAATATGTGATCATCTACAGAACATAATACAAGAAGACTCCGAGAATTTGGAGAAAAAGGCCGAAAATTGGTAACACATGCTCCCATTCAGGGACCTGTTTACCCATTCATTTACTAAACTTAAGTGTCCCAGTACTTATGGTCTGCCTTGAACCGTGTAAGTTTTTTAACAGCAGATTTTGACACATTTTACTATAATAGAAGAAAAAAAAAAACAGAGCTTGAATCCAAAACTTTTGGCTGCTTTCTGTCTCCCAGATTTATCTCTGACACACATTTATCCAGGCCTAGGGACCATCATTTGGAGCACATCAGCATGCAACACCCTGAACGTGGATTTGAACCAGAGATCTTTTATATGCAAGAGAGGGTCAAAAATAGGGTGTAAAAAAAAAAAAGACCCTGCGTGCTGGAGTCCGGTCGGCAAGAACTCAAATCTGGCCCAGTAGATGGTTTTGGAACTTGCAAAGGAGGGGATCATTTTTGAACTTTTAATTGTATTATTATAGCTGTTAGCAACAGATAAGCAATTAAATAAGAGAAACTTTCCTTCACTTTCCTGTTTTTTCTGCTAACTACTATAAAGATGACTGTTTCTTTTCTCATTTCTTTTTCTCTTTAAATTATTTGTTATTTCATTTGAAATAACAAAATTGTTCTATTAAAATTACAGGACTGTTTGGGCAATGAACTACCAGAAATTTTTCTGTAGTCGTGCTGACAGATTTTTCACTTATCGTGTAGAAAAACCGAGACAAACACTTGAAACTGCACTTCTTTATCTTACATTGAGATATTGCCGAGATGAAACGTATAGTTAAACTTTACACCAACAGAAAGGGGAATTTCACTACTCTGCCTAATGTTGTAAGATGCGTTTGACATGACTGCACTACTCGATGGAGCTGTTTGCATATAAAATGTGTAAAACCTCTGTTTGATTGTGTAAGATGGTTAAATGCCCTGTTTTAATTCACTTTTAGAGTTTTTACTCGAGCCAGTCCCAGCATGTAGAGGAACTGTGGAAGTGTGAAAACCCGTGCAATGCTCTATTTAATACAAACCTCAACTTGCCAACAGGTATAACCTGAATCTTTGTGCTCACAGAGACAGAATCAGATCAACAAGCGGTGTAAAATGCTTTCAGCATGAATGAATTCACAGTTTCTGCCACAAACTGTTGCCACACTGAGCTAACACCCACAGCACCAGCAGATAAAAACACTGCAGCTGTTTGACATCTCAGTTTAGAGCTAGATATTTACCAGAAAGTATAGAAGATTTCAATTTTTTATTCTTATTTATATTATTACATTTGGAAAACTGTGTTTTCTTTTACCTCACAACATAAAAAACAGGTTTTCATTTGTAGATTTTTACCATTCAGTTTTACCCTTTGTCATTTCTGCTGATTAGCTGAAGCATACCTTGTGTTCTCCCCTCTTGTAGTAATGGAGCTGATACTCCAGGTTGTTGGGCAGATCAGTGAAGCTGGTGTAAGTCTCGTAGGTGCTTTTCCAACCAAAGTGGTGGTGGCTTGAGTTGTGGCTGACTGAGAGGCAGCACGGCGCGTTTGGTTTAACTGACAAGAAGATGTGTGACTGTTAAAAAACAATAATTCATACATTTATGAGTCCTGCCAACACAGATGATCATTATGCTGCTTACTGTTGTGCACAGGTTGGTACTGCTCATCTAGCACGTCACAGGTTTCAGACTCCTCATTTGGGTCGTGGCAAAGTGAGATTTTGTATACATCTAAATCTGTAAACGTATCGCCATAATCGAGCGATGTTGTAAATGTGCAGAAATAGTTCTCTTTGGTATGTGTCAGCATGCACTTGTACGTTCTGTGAGAAAAAGAGAAGCAGCAATAAGGTGCATGGCGTTAAAGGTGACCCATCATTCTTAAACGCTTAGTAAAAAGAGTCTCACTCGATGTCTGTAAAAATGAGCCAGTAGGAGCTGTTGCTGTTTGAGGTGTTTTCTGATGGAGTGATGTTCAGGGAGCAGTAGATGGTGGTTAGGTAATCATTGACGCAGTGAAGATTGTAGTCCGCTCCTAGGAAACCCCATAGAAAAGATAGTTATGATTAGAGAGCAAAACAAAATGAAGTAGAAATATTTCAAGTCCATGTTTAACTCAAGACTGTTAGTGAATAACCATGTGCTAGCCAGTCCAGAATAGATTTATATTGTAATTGCTTAAAACACTCATGACTGGCCTATATACACACTGAAATTGTGTTTATATGAGAGACAATGAGATCTGCAGTGTGATTAATGTTCTAATCTAAAGAGAGCTAAAACCATAGATCAGGTGTCAGTATCCAATCAACAAGTCAAGTTCAGCTCTTACAAACGTGCATTAATACTAGTGCTATTTTCCCCCCCTTTGCACTACCTTCTCTGCCTCTGCCAAGAAAGCAAACAATTAGAAGTGAAGAACCAACAGGAAGTTTCAGAATTATTCAGAAATATTTTCGCATGAGCTACATTTTTACACAGTTCCCAATTGCTTGAAGCAACTGAATCATGATGATTTGCACTTTGATAGTACTTTTCTATCTTTTTGAGTGCACACAATTCATGACTAGAGGTGCTGGCTGATCGAGGAGGAGATGGACTTAGCAAAATAATGGACAACCTGTACAACGACATAGATCCAGGCATCTCAAAACATCATTTAAGTGCTGCTTTTGATGTATTATGGTTGTTGTAGATTAGCAACTAGGGTGAAATGCACAAAAACAGTAAATAGTATGTCACTTTATTGTATAATGAAGAACCTCATTTGAGAGCTTAAGCTCATTTAGCCATTTAATCTAGCCGTTATTGCGTTAGTGTTGTTACATCTAGTGCTTTAAAGCTCTTACACTTACATTTTACAGCTGTACATTTGTCTTTAATCTGATGAAAAAACAAAAAAGCAAAGTAAGAATTATAACCTGCTAATGGACTTCCATGTAGCCTGATGATGTTGGTAGATTTGAGTAGGAACACAATCAGCAGCGTCGCCTTCATCCTCAGGGGTGGATGCCAATCCATCGCACCAGACACCAGCTCAGCCCAAAGACTAAGTCATACTGTCCTGACTCTTTTGTAAAGCGGGTTTTAAACGCAGACTGAGAGGCGTAACCGCTCAGGCTTCTCACACAGATAGCTGTCACTCACCGCTATCATTGTCACTGGTGGGAGAGGATGTGCTTTTTTAAGAGAGCAGCTGTTTATGAAAGCGTGTGAAAAGAGTTTAACCTAGCAGTGTTTCATATTACAGTCTGTCTGACGGTGCACTTGTTTGCACTTGTCATGAAATCTTTACCAGTTTAGCTTGTTTAGAGGAAGCAAAAGGTGAAGCGCTTTGGGCCGAGATGCTCCACAGCCCACCTACTGAGCTGCATCTAAAGCTTTAAGGTTACTTCATGTAGTAACTTTCTGAATGGGCACAAAGCTGGAAGACACAGCCGTCTTATCATCCAAACTCAGTTTGAATGACTGATGAGCTGCAAAAACAGTGAAGCCTGAGATGCCATGTGACAGAAATCACTATATAAACACCTTTCACTGAGCTCTAAACCTACAGCGTAAGATATCCACTTATTTCTGTCAGACATTCATCTGCTTTAGGGACACAAATTTAAAACACACCTCTAAACACGTATTTGTGTGTTAACATTTTCTGCACATTGGCTGTAAATGTCTAAACAGGATTAAGATTTTTACCTTTTGTATACTGCACATCAACATCTTTTGACTTTCATATAATACTTTTTTAAAAATAGGTTTTCTTTGCTATTTAGTGTGTTATTTATTCCTGAGTTGTTTTATTCATATTTACAGAAAACAGTACATTTACGTGCTCTTCCTGTGGAATCTAAACAGCAAAAAGCCACGCAGTCCAAGTTTGCATGCCTTAATCTACCTTTAAGCCACCACAGCACTTTCTATATCATCATTATTATTATTTCAATTTAACAAGTATCCTGATATTAGAGTATGCTAATTATTGTGCAACCTGCAAGGGTGTTGTGCAATATGCACTGAGAGCAGATTAGCAGATTGAAACTGGGGTTTTGTGTACGTCTTTGGTGAAAGATGTTACAAAAGATAAGAGCTGATGGTGAGTTTCACGGCTTCCTCTAGGGTTCATGATTTTGTTTATTTACAAATGTGTAAAGACACACTAGCAGACTGAATCTCACTTTAGCTGGATGTGTCTCGTTCATCATGCACCCGTGTTTTTTTACGGCCTGAGGGCCCAGTTACATAATGCATCGCCTGCTTTACTTGTGAAGTATGCTGCAGCAAGTATTAGTAGATATTGTGATGGGAATACCCCCAAACATTTTTTTGTGCTATAATACCATTTCAACAGGAAATGAATAAACACAGCATGGTAATGTATAAATACGATTGCAGAGGTTAGGGTTCAAAAATACCTGTTTACCTCTGATCGTCTTACCTTACCACAGAACGAAACTGAGGCTTATTTTTACTAACTGAAACCCAAATGACTTCTGTCCCCCCCTTTTTCCTGTTAAGCAGCATTAAAACTTGCTTGAGATCAGCGATGGTGATGGTCCTGGGATGGAAGTAGTGTTCAAATCTTTATATTGTGCAAGAAGAGAAATCTGCAACGTGCTGCAGTTCTTCTACATCTGATACAGTTTTTTTTTCCCTCTGTTTTTAGTACTTTGATAGAAAAAAAAAGTTTCCTTTTCGTGATAAACACTCTGAGATGATAGCAAACAGCTAGAGATGTCACATGTTATCACACTGATACAAATCTGAGAGGCTGATTGAAGCTGCAAAAGTTGTACTAATCAAGTTAATGGAAAAGTCCACAGGCTGATAACACTGTGGGCTTTTTTTGTCACGGAAAATATCAGCAATGTAACGTTTAAATAATAAAATTCATTAAGTAAACATAGAGAACGATTAAATATTTTAAATATGACTCTTCGCACACTTGCAAATATTTTAATACTGTTAATCAATATTTAATGGGTAGTGTTCACATGGTAATCTTTCATATTTGAAAAGTTCTTTGCACATCTGAGAAATATGAAGAGTAAACCCTTATTTTAACAGTGGTGGTAAAATAGTAAACAGCCCTATGAAATAAGTCTCCTCTGATGTCTGTGGCATATTAAATGTCAATGTTAGTGTTACAGTCCGGCAGGATACAGAACATGAAAACTGATCCTGTATGGGGATCTCTTTAAGCACTTGAGGCACACCAGCATCGCTCACTCGCAGGCCAGCTTGCCATCAAAGGATGAGAGGGTAATGGCAAAAGCTTGCAGGGCACACATAGGGAAACTGTAGTCCATAGAGAAGACGTCCTCAGCTACGCGGCCGAACTGCATCACGATGTAGTCCTCTGGAAAAAACAGGAGGGCATTGAAGTTAATGAGCCAAATCGTTTCTCCAGAGACGGACAATAAGTCGTCCTACCATTGTCAGGGTGGATGATCTGGAAGTTTTTGACAGAGGCCTGGGTGACACGTCCGTGAAAGTTGAGCACGTACGACTGAGTCTGTTCGTTCCAGCTCGGGGATTTGTTCACCAGGGTGACCAGTTTGTCCGTGTTGCCATTTGCATGGCGGGTCAACAGAGTCTCCAGGTCCTGGAATAAGAGGATAAGATAAATAAGAGGATAAGATAAGTTGATCTGAAATAATTCACTCCTATCACAGGTTTAATAACACTGTGAATGAGTTTTATGTTTTACTTATACATTTTTGGGCCGGATGACCACTCTTTCATCATTCTCCAGCATGCC